CCTCGAGTAGGCTTCTCTTAAACAGCTGCCACTCGGTTTCAATATCAGTTGTCATCACTGGGATCTGTTCGAACCGTCGTGCGATGCTGTTTGCAAATTTTGCTCTCGTGTCCACCGAAGATATTTGTTTCTCTGGTTGATTCTGCCACCAGGACTTCGTATTATACTCCATTTCTTACAGCGCAGCGTGCCAACAACAAGGTAGTGATCGGTTAATAGCTCTGCGCCTCTTAATGCAAACATCCATTACAGTACGTCTTACGTGAGGCAATACGATTATGAAATCGATCGTACGCCAATCCTTTTGTCTTTATTTGTAAATGGGTTGTCTTTTTCGTGAGACAGTTTTGCCTCAAAGGCTTGAAGAGAATAATAAGATTTATATTAACCGGCCTCAGTAGCAGGCCATTTATTGTGATAAAGGATCGGCAATGCAGTAAGAGCACTAGAGATGGACAGCAGGTGTGCGATTTTGGCTAATTTATATCCCGTCTCTGTGCCACTGGCAGTTCAGTTGTGTCTGATAAGTTCGTCAACATTTTGAGCTTGAGGACGTTAAAGTAGAGAGCTTTAACAGCTGTGTTGCATGCGGAAGCTATCATGCGGAAGCTACCCGCAATACTTACCAGAACAGTATGGTTGAGGTCTACAAGACATCTGGTCTGATATCTTGAACTGCACCTTCCATTTGGACCTTCTTTATTACAGGGTCAGCACTGTTTCAGAGAAGAAGGTCGATAAAATTGTTGAACAGCAAAGGCGAAAGCTCATAATTCTGAGCAGTTGATAGGAAGCCATTTTAATAGCTTAGCTATGCTGCAACTTTGACAGCACATGTGGTTCCTGCAGACAGATCATTCAAAAACGAAACGCTATTCCGTTATCAAATGGCATTTCAAGGTTTTCTACATTATCGGATGATGTACTAAGCCAGATTCCGTCCCAACGTTGAAGATACTGACTAACCGAGATAACTGGAATCATCGGAATTGATCAGTAATCCTACGCAGAGTAGAATTTTGTCTGGACAAGAGTACCTCATGCTGAAGCTTACTTCACTTTGGTGAAACCTCCACTTTACAGTCTGCTTCAGACTTTCTAGGATAATCCAGGGAAACACTCTTTTAGATATTAACTGTAGGATAATATGATGATAGTTGGAACACTTTGTCGCCCGACCCTGTTTAAGTTTAGTAAGTAATAACGTGTAATATGATACAAAACAGATATTTACCACTGTATGGAGCTGAATGTTTAGTCGCACTGAAGAGACACGAGTAGCTGCTAAACTACTGCTATAGACATGTGAATGATGAGATGAATGCATGGTATCAGCAAAGAAGATAACAAGAAAGATAGTTTTTTTCAAATAGAGCGTCACAGGTAGCTCCAGTAATTGCAACGCTGACCAATAGCGACATCGTTTGTTCAGCCATACGAAAATAAGGCGAATGATTTCGTAAGCAATGTGGTTGGAAAAGTAATACTAATAATGAGACTTCAATGTCAAGGATGAAAAGGATGGTATGGCACCGTAGAAATGAGCGAAGAACTCGGCTGGTAATCATTGCACAAACGAAACACCTGCGCATTATCAGCACCGTGTTCAAGACGAAGGCCAACAGGAGATGGACATGAAACGCGCCCAAAGTGGCGAGGAAGAACGAGACCGAGTTCATACTGACCGTTAAGCGCCGCATCAACCGAGACGAAGCGGTAGTACCGACATTTAAAAGCGACAGAAACTGCAGACTGTTGCGGGACATGCGAAACGTTGAGGAGAAGATAGAGAAGAAAGCACTGTAGACGGCAAATCGCAGACAACGAACGAATGTATTCGGCGAAGTGGTGCTCCATTTCCAACGAGCACTGGAGTCTGAAAGGCAGTTGCGACGACGACAAGGATTTCAGCGAGACAAAGAATTTGTTAGAGATGTGGTGGTGGTGGAGGGGGCAACGACAGAAGAGACAGGCACAAAGTGATGCTTTCTTCTCTGCGAACTCATGAAATTCAATAGACTGACGCTGAGGGAGGACTTTGAGGCCTTCCGACTCCAAAAATTACAAAAACGGCTGACGCCCACCGAAGTCTCTGAAAAATGCAATAAAAAGTTAGCGCTTTATCAGTCGATCACGCCGTCGTTGAAGAACAGAGATAGCGCGATAACGTCTGATCGAGCTAAAATGCAGTCTGTTTGCAGGAACGTTTACACCTAGATCCCTGAGTCAGACACGCGACCCCCTCCTCCGTCACTATAGCCATGAAAAACTTTTCTCCCGTTCATATGAAAAGTTCGGCATACCGCGAAGCGAAGGAAGAAACGAGATGCTCGAGGGAGCGATGATCTGACAATTAAAATGGTCAGAAAATGCGGTCAAATGCTGTGGAGGGCTTTATCGAAAAGGTTCAGTTGATACCTGTAAACGAGAGTAACGGTATCAAGCTGGAAGAAGTCAAAAAACAATCGTGCTGTTCGAAAAAAGATGGCAAAGAAGATCTGAACATTTGTTACTCATTTGCCTGCTTGCACAATCTACAAGCTGTTCACTAAGATCATCAGTAGCAGACTGTCAACAAGCCTTGATGAATAATAGCGAAAATAACCAGCAGGATTCCAAAGGAGCTATAGCACACCGGGTAATATTTTTAGCTGAAATCAACTCCTAGAACGCGAGATGGAATTTCTGTTCCCTGCTGCATCGCCTTCGTTGAGAAAGCGTCAGACACTGTCGATTTCAACGTAGTGCAGACTGCAGCACTGACAAAGCATGGCATCGACACCCGTTCGTTACATCAGCCTGCTAAAGGAAGCAATCTCTGGCTGCTTCACCAACATCTCGTTGTTCGACACTCTTCTCCAGGTTCCCGCAGAGAAGAGCGTGACATAAGGGAACGTCCTCTCCTCCAAACTCTTCACTGTCTGTTTAGAAATGGCATTCCAGAGGATAAGCTGGTATGTTAAGATTCTCATCAGTGATGAAGAGTTGAGATATTCAAGGCTCGCTGATGACGGGTGTTGCTTGCAGAAATCCCCAATAAGCTTCAAGACACGCTGCAAGAGCTCGACAGAGAAAGTGCAAAAATAAGCCTGCGAATCAGCAAGTTAAAGACGAAGGTACTGCGATTGGAAGCTCTGCCTCAGGCCCAGATAATATCAAACGGCGGAAAAACGGAAGAAATCGAT